GTCTAGAGTGCAGTAGTGTAATCATAGCTTACTGCAGACTTGAACTCCGAGCTTTAAGTGATCCTCTTGCCTCAGCCTCCCAAGTAGCTGAGACTACAGCTACGTCCTTAATTCTAAGGATCTGGCTTATAATTAAGTTGTAATGTTACAGTATTATCTATGTGGATTGAGACTGAAGTAGGAATTAATATCACCCTTAAATGATCGCAGATACTGATAGGACATGGAGTGTTACTTTTTTCATGGAGAGATTGTGTCTTTATTTATATGAATTATAGTGCATCATATATATATATTGAGTACAGGGGACTTTACTGATAGTATATGATAAGGTGGGGTTCCCTAGGGCCCCCTACCCTAATTCTTCAGGGGGTCTGGCATGGACACTGTAAAGAGGGGAGATTCTCAGTGTGGTGGGGGACTGAGTGTGTCAGGGACTCTTTAGCAGCTGAAGGCTTCTCTCTTCCTCTCGTGCTCTTGCTGGGGCTGGTGTTCTGGGGACTCTTACTCTTGGAAGCCATGGACCATGGGGTCCACCACCCTGTTGCTTTAGCCAAATTCAGTGTCTTACCAAGAGATGAGCTTGACAAAGCTGTTGCTGAAGGCAATGCCAGCTCCAGCATCAAAGGTGGAAGAGTGGGTGTCACTGCTAAAGTCAGAGGACACAACCTGTTGCTAGTGTAGCCCAGGATGTCCTTGAGGGGGCCCTCAGATGCCTGCTTCACTGCCTTTTTAATATCACCATATTTGGCGGGTTGCTCCAGACCACAGGTCAGGTCCACAATGGACACACTGGTGGTGAGGACACAGAAGGTCATGCCTGTGAGCTTCCCTTTCAGCTCAGGGATGACCTTGCTCATGGCCTTGGCACTGCTGGTGGATGCAGGGATGATGTTCTGGAGGGCCCTGCGGTTGTTGTGCCACAGCTTCCCAGAGGGACCATCTATGGTCTTCTGGGTAGTTGTGATGGTGTAGACAGTGGTCATGAGTTCCTCCATGATGCCAAAGTTGTCGTGGATGACCTTGGCCAGAGAGGCTAAGCAGGTGGTGGTGCAGGCGGCATTGTTGACAATCACGACGTTGTTCTGGTACGTCTTGTGGTTCACAACCATCACCAACATGGGGGTGCCAGCTGAGGAAGTGGAGACGATGACCCTTTAGGCTCCTCATGTAAGTAAGCCCCAGCTTTCTCCAAGGTAGTGAAGAGACTGATGGACTCCACTGCATAATCAGTACCAGCATTGCCCCATTTTATTTTGGTGGGATCTCGCTCTTGGAAGATGGTGGTGGGTGACTATGTCACGGAACTTGCTGTGGGTGGAGTCACACCAGAACAGGTAGACCATGTAGTTGAGGTCAATGAAGAGGTCATAGATGCTGATAATATCCACTTTGCCAGAGTTAAAAGCAGCCCTGGTGACCAAGTGCCCAATATGGCCAAATCCGTTCACTCCAGCTTTCACCTTTATTTTGGTGTCTCAGGGTCGCGGCTGGTGGTGAGCTAGAGCTATGGCTGTCTGTCGAATGGGAGGAGCAGAGAGCCTAGTACATCATATTAAGTGAAAGAATAATATTCTTCTTTTGGTTTAGAATGTTAGACCACAAGGTAAAAGCATTTGTATGGATCCAAAGTGGACAGTGCTAGTGTTCAACATGACCCCTCACTGTTGTAAATTTCCCCTGTGCTACAATAATGTTAGAAGTCTGAAAACTACATTTCTCAGATTTCCCTGCTAGCAGGGTTCAAGTTTAGTTTTTGGAAATGTGAGGAACTCACACACAATTTGGAAAGCATAGGTGAAACAAAAGCCATTGTTCTTGTTCTGTAGCCTGATATTAATATAATAAGAAATACATATTTTGGTCTTTGTCCTGTGTGTAGGCAACTGTTTCTAAAACCCTTGGACTCTTTAAAGTGACAAGTGTCTTTTTGTGTGCTAATGAGAAGATCCATGACTAAGGGTTCCTAGATAGCATCAGGATGGGGCTGTTGCCTGGGGCCTGGGGGTACCAACTATGTGATTAGAGGGCTGGAACTTTCTTTCTTTTTTTTTTGAGTTGGAGTATCACCCTGTCACCCAGACTGGAGTGCAGTGGCCGCTCCCGGCCACCACAGCCTCAACCTGCTGAGCTCTGGCGATCCTTCCGCCTCAGCCTTCCGAGTAGCTGGAACTGCAGGCACGCGCTACCACGCCCAGCTAATTTTTTTTGATTTATTGTAGAGATGAGGTCTCGCCAAGTTGCCCAGGAGGGTCTCGAACCCACGGGCTCAGGCAATCCACAAGGGCTGGAACTTTCAACCTCACCCAGACTTCCCAGGAGTGAAGAAGGGCTGAAGCTTGAATTAATTGCTAACAGCCAATGATTTAATCAATCAAGCTTACATAATAAAGTCTTCATAAAACCCCAAAAGGGCAGGGTTTGTAGAGCTCCAAAGTTGCTAAATACATAGAGGTCCTAGAAGAGTGGTGTGCCCAGAGAGGACATGGAAGCTTCATATCCTTTCCTGCATACCCTTGCCCTATGCATCTCTTCCACCTACCTGCTGTTCCCGAGTTGTATCCTTTTTATAAAAAATCAGTAATCTAATAAATAAACTATTTTCCTGAATTCTATGAGCCATTCTAACAAAGGATCAAACTGGAGGGGGGAGTTGTGGGAACCTCTGAGTTTACAGCTAGTTGGTCAGAAGCTTAGGCAAAAACCTGGACTTGCAACTGGCATCTGGAATAGGGGCAATTGTGAGGGACTGAGACTTAACTCATGGGAGGTGGTGCTATCTCCAGGCAGTAGTGTCAGAATTGACTTAAATTTTTATAGACCCAGTAGGTGTTCACAGAGAATAGGAGAACTGCTTAGTGTGGGGAAAACCCACATATCTGGTGTTAGAAGCAAAGTACTGAGAAAGGTAAGAGTAGAGAAGAAAAAAAACAGGTTTCTGCTTTTTCCCCTAACAGTTTTCCTCTAGCACTAGTGAATAGATGAAAGAACAGACAGCAGATGAAACATTTGTAGGGGTTTCTGGGAGAGTTCCTGCAAATTCCCCACTTTGGTGCTGCAGGAGGTGACTTCTCTGTGATCTCTACACTTCTGGATTTACTGAAAGCCCACAGCAGTTCTTTCTGACTTTCAACTCTCCCCCATCCATTCCAACATTTTATAAGCATCTTATTCACTGTGTTAAATCTCTTGTTGCTTGAACTAACTTAGAGTAGGTCCTGCTTTTCTGGCTGAACCCTGATTTAACTTAGTAAGTAGAGTGCTAAGGACTCAATAATAATTAGCTATTACTTGTTTATGAGAACAGGAATATTAAGAAATATATCTTTTTACTTTCTTAAGAGGACTAAACTGGTTTTTTTCTTTTCTTTCTTTTTTTTTTTTGAGTTGTAGTCTCACTCTGTTGCTTAGTCTGGAGTGCAGTGGCCTCAATGGACCTGCTAGACTCAGATGATCCTTCCACCTCAGCCTTCCAAGTAGCTGGAACCACAGGCATGTGCCACCATGCCTGGCTAATTTTTAAAATTACTGTAGAGACAAGGTCTTGCCATGTTGCTCATTCTGGTCTGGAACCCCTGAGCTCAGGCAATTCTCTCGCCTCCGCCTTCCAAAGTACTGGGACTAAAGGCTTGAGCCACCACATACCCCGCCTTTTTTCTTTTCATTGCCAAATTCCTAACTTTTAATGTGATTTATTCTCCAACTTGACTGGCAATAAAGAAGGAAAAATTAAAGTATTTTATGACCCTGTAAAGCTTTCTTTTGGGGACTCTGGCATCTTTTAAAACAATTACCTGCTCTGTTTGAAGTCTGGTAATAGACTTCAAATACCACCCCTAAAACTTCATCTACACATCAAGAAACTCTGCTCCCTTATCTTCCACAAGCTTCCTATTTCCTTTTTTGTTTGTTTGTTTGTTTTGTGGTTTTTTTTTGAGTTGGAGTCTCACTCTGTCGCCCAGACTGGAGTGCAGTGGC